TAATAGCCTCTGGGAGCGTGTCTGTCGTGCTTTGATCAAAGCCTGACCCCGTAGGTCTACTAGACTTGACTTCAACGGCAACGTTGACGTTGAACAATAGCAAGCTTCTTTAAAAAAGAATGGCAAGTTAAGAGAGAAATCACTTTGTGATGCTGTTCCCAATGAAGAAACCGCTCAATGGATTATTGAAGGGGTCTTCCAAAGATAATATGCCCTTAGCTTTTGCAAATCAAGTAGGATATTCAACTCCTACGTTTGGAGTCACTAAGCAATAACAAGTGAAATGATGCTTAATACCTACCTCGAGATCTCTAATCAATGTTTGTCTATCCTACCCTTTGAAAGCTGCATGAAATAACTCATACATAGATAGGCATGGGATATTTTCTGCGATTCCTGCTATTTGCTAGGGCGACCTTGAAAGGGCAGCTTTCATAGGTGAAGCCACAATAAGCTCATTCAATTCCTAAATAAATCATAAAGATTATAGGACGCTCCGCCTCAGCGAATCAACTCGAAAGGTATTTAGTTAAAAGAGCCTACGTACAATTTCTGCCCTTTCCACCCCGCTTGCCTCTCATGCGAATGCAATATCTTTCTCGTTCCGACCCCCGCCCCCCTTGCCCCTCTTTCTAATCCTCCCTCGTACAGAACCACATTTCGCAAAAGCGGCGGCAACGGCAATGTAAATATCCTCGGAGGGAAGACAAAGTCAACACGTTCTTGATCTGTCCGTCTGTCGTAGTTGGGTGCCAAGATTGCGGTGAGGTATGTCAACTTTTGAGGCTTATCCGGATCGTGTTGGTGAGCGAGAGGTGTGAAACGAGAAGCTGTTGGTCTAATATTCCCATCCAGGAGGTTCATTAGTAGGCGCAAGGTCGTGGGATTGAAAGAAGCGAGCAAAGTTGCCTTAGCGGAGGCGATGGTATCAAAATAGAGTTGGTAGGATCATGGTAGCCTGCTGTTATTCACACTCTAGAAGCTTCTTATAGAGGACTACTATCTCCACTTTAGTTGTCTCCATTCGACAAGGTGATTTGCCAGATTCTCGATTTAGTGTTGGGAGTAAGCACGATCGTATGGATAGGCATTGGCAGCCAGATTATGCCATTAAAATCATAAGCTTGCTATTCGATTTCTATCTCTCTATTCTTCACGCAAGAGAGCAGTATGCGAAGCCCCAACATTGGTAGATAGAAATCAATTTCCCCATTGAAGCCGCGTAAAATAGCTTTGACCGTGGGCTGGGACTGACACCTGCCAAGCAAGAGCGTGAAAAGGGTCCATGGAGCGTTGTGTTATGTTCAGCTAGGCCAGTAGTGCCCACCAGTTTCAAGATAAACTAACAATAGTATGGTCTTGCGTGTATTGTAGCCATACCATTGTTCTTTGCCAAGGCAGGTGACGGCTCTGGAAGGTGCAGAGAAGCCATCTGGAGGTTGCCTCAGTCTCAAAGAACGTGAAACACTAGACAATTGCACGAAGTGATCACTGTGACTGCTCGTTATCTCAGCCTCAAAGTACAGTCCTCATATGGTCTTGCTATTGGCTGTAGGATCGACACGTCGAACTCCGCTCTTTTGCCGTTTTTATCAAATTTGGAAAAATTAGCTTGAAAACTATGTTGAAGGATCTTACTTAGGGGATTGTTCTAAGCACAGAAGAACATGAGTAGTAACAATAGAACGGTGTTGCATAACGAAGGCGCTAGAGTCATTGTCCGGTAATGCGCCCCTCTTTCTTGCAAGTGATCTATAGAAGCGGACAGGGTGGCAGCTTCTAGGGCGATAATCTGCATGCTTTTCTTGGTTGAAGCGACAGAGTCCTCAGTGTTTGAGGACGCACGCCAATGCTTTGTTGCTGCTGCCGATTCGTCTGGCTTCGGAGGTAGTAGTGTAAGTGCGGGTGTGGGTGCAAAAAGGAGGAGAATCATTAAGAGCAGAGGTACGGGATCAACCTCTATGGTTGACTGGGCTAACTGAGGACGATTGGGAACCTTCCCCTAGACTTTGCCTCGGAATAGGTTTAGTAGCTGGCGGTCGGATGGTTGATGCAAAAGTAGGAATGTCGATAATTCAATTGGTGGGATATGTGGTTTGCTAGAAGAACATTTGGATAGCGGCAGCAGGAGACGGTCCTAGATGAGCCAAAAGGAGGAAGAGTGGTGTCAAGAACAGTAGGATGAAGTTCGTGAGTGATCGACCAAGTCTTGATTGCGTGAGGACATTCTGTAAGGCTTATTTGATGCTCTATTCATGCTCGTCTTCCTGGGTGCTTGAGAGGCAATCATTCTCACCAATTGTGCAGAGATGAGACAGACAAAGCACCAGTCGCAGATGTGTCCCTCAATTCGTAATCTGGGCACTGAAAAGCCATTCTCCGGGCATCACAGTAATTTCTGGATTGGAGCTGCCTCCCAAATCGCATTGAACCCGTTGATTTCGAAGAGAGAATGCGCCATTCATACTTCTTCCTGCATTGGTCCTCTTACCCTCCACCATCTTTTAGAATCCATCGCTGATAGGTCTTCCCCTCTCCTGCTCCCCTCTATCCTCACCAAAGAGTTCCTTTACCTTTTCGCTCGCCAAGGACGACAATCTATCCGCGTTCCAGCGGTGGAAATCATTCACCCTATCCTCCGGCACTTACTATCATCCATTCATTTCTCCTGCGCCGTCTTCTCGTGTCTACTGCCTCAACCTTGGCCCGGACCATCTTCCCTACCCTATATTATCCACTTACCACCCATCCGCTATCCATCTTCCTTCTCCCCATTGGGCTTGTTCTAGCGATGAAGCATGCGAAGGTATTAGTTCAGCTAGACTTTCTGGCGAAGCACTCATATACAAATTGTCCCGATGAGAATTCCCTAGTCGGCGTGGGGTCGGGGTATCTGTCATGGAAGCTGTAGCGGCTGATGCGGTAATTGAGGAAGTGTGATGGCGGGATCGCGCCTGCTTGAGGCGGTCAGAAAGGAGACTTCTAGACTCATCCGTGATTGCCCGGACTGCATACTTACGGGGAAGAGTATGATCGCGGAAGGGATGGCTCAGTGTTCGACTGGATGATAAGGGGCAGCAGGCTGAGGGGCAGGGTTACGTTTCGGACCGTTTATCAGCATTGATTTTTCAGGTAGAATTTTCTCTTCCTTAGGGAATGTATTATCCTCCTTGTGCTTCTCATCGCTGGCGAAAGGGAGCCTAGTGGTTTCTTGTCGCTAGCACTCGCTCCTTTTCTCTTGTTTCATCCAAGCCTCGACCAATACCCTAGTATATGTACGTTCATAGCAGTGCTTTCTCTAGAGCACACAAGCGGGGCATATTGGACCAAGTCGGGACTCTTTGGTTGTAAGCGCGAGGGACCGACAGGGTGATGTCATCCGCAGACATTTGTTTTCGGCATTGGTGAAGTGTACCAGTGAAGGGTACTAGTGAGAGACATCGGTGACGCTGTTGGAAATTGGACACCCTCGAGGCCAGCTAGAGCGACTCCCCAATTCTGGATCAGTGGACTGAGATGCGACCGCCAAGCAGAAACTCGGGCCGTATCTCTGCAACCATGAACAAACCTTTCTTTCGGTCAGTATCATATCCAAATCCAAGTCTACTTTAAAAGGCAATGCTTTAAAACCCTTGCATCTCGGCAAGTCAAGAGGCTGCTGTGCTTAAGTCGCAGATAAACATGGCGCAATCCTTATCCGCTGGCCTGTTAGTTTCCTCATTCCCAATGGACCGCATGATCTGCTTTGCGATTGTTTCTTCGTCTTCTTGCTCCAAGAGTCTACTAGCTAGCAGCTTTAGATGTTTCGGAACGCTGCCAAATGTTTCCGGAGGAAATCTCCGCTATTGATTAAGTCCAATTTACCTTCTACTTTACTCGCAAGCATCATGATTTGGATAATCGAGTCATGGTCAAGGAATCAGACACATTATAGGATGATGATTGAGTCAACACTGGCTATGAATAAGTAAGACAATAGGTCTATGTGGAATGCAAAAACGGGGAATGTGGCTACCTGTCTTAGGAACTTCACTTCGGAATAAATATACAATTTTTCTTTTGCCTTCTAAAAAGTTGTCCAACGACAAATTTATAAGACTTCGTATCAAAATAGAGATTCACTTGGCGGGATATCTTGTACATAATAATGGGGCTTTGTCATGAACCTGGATGCGGCGCTTGTGCTGTCGTAGTGAAAGTGGAATGGAATTGGGAATGTCGTTGTCAGATTGGCAGGTCGACTTCAACTGAATTTCCCGGAGAATAGGGCCCGCGTACATGCGATCTGGTCATGAATTCGTTGACCAAACGATGCAGGGACTCTGTGAAGGAGAAACAACACTCTCAAGATCGCATTATCCTGTGCATTGTTATCCGTTACCGGTCGCGCCTCAAAGCACTTCTTAACTTAATCACGCAGAAAGTTGAGTTGGTCGAGGATCCTGCAGCTAATGTTTGAATCATAGTTCCGAGGTCGATGGTACTGTAGTTAAGTAGAGCACAGTATTCTTGCGGCACTTAATGTTCGTGTCAACTAACTTCCAAGTAGATAAAGATCAATGCTGCCGAAGACTGGAGCGCAAGATAGAGGATCAGTCTAGTCTATAAGATGCTCGCAAGCTCAAAACAGATCTCAATAGGTCAATTTGGCCCCTAAGCTTACCTTGCAGGCTTGCGTCGCCAGATGCGTCTGACTGAGAGAGATAGGCAACATTGGCATAGCGTCCTACTCGAATGCGATCTTGATCTTGACAAGAGGACTCGGGACTGAGCGGGAAGTTCCGCGGCCACGTGACGTAGAACTAATCCAGGCGAGTAAACATTGAGGACACTTCAAATTCACCATTCAACTTCCCACCAGCTCCATGATTCACAATTGCGCATCGAACTTCTTTCAATGAGCTGTCCACGCGAAGTTTACCAGATACAATTCACTTTGCGCACGTGCGCAGCCCCGCTCTCCCTTCACTTCTGCGAGGCTTCACCTCGCACTCTCACACATGCAGGGAGCAGAGCTGCTAGAGCTCTCCCTTCAAGTCGAACGATGGAAAGGCGAAGTGATTAGACAGACCTCTCTGGATCAAGAGCAGCTTCAGGCAAATTCACGCAAGCGTGACAGCCGTTCTATGAGTTTGCGATCATCGGTGAAGCGACAACGTCTTGACAACCTTTCCGCAAACATCCAGAGGCCTCCACCTGCCCACCTTCCCCAGGACCCTGACCTACAAAAAGGACGTATTGAAAAAGCCAAAATCATGTACGACCCTAAGACCCCTTCTCAAGGACCCGCAAAAGGCTCGGGCGGTCAGAGCGCGAGAAGAGATCAGCACTTGCACGAAACAGATGGTCATAGCAAGCAATACATAGGAGGGCGTGTGTATGAGATTAGATCGCGTCAAGACCCGACTCGCCAGAGTGGTAGCAGCAACCAGCCTGCGCAGGTCACATCAAATGCCAGTGAGCAAAGTGAACTAGGAGCAAGGCAGCTACGCCCGAGGCCTCCTCATGCTGGTCAAGTGAACCTACTAGACCAAGCGACACAAGAGACAGGGAATCGAGGTCGGCAGAATATACCGAGGGGGGTGCAAGGCCCGCATGAGAAAGAGACTAGATACACAAGACAAGAATCTAGGGAGAGCGGTGCACAACCCGCAGCACCCCACGGGCATGGTCTACAAAAGACCCAGCCGTTCCGCAGCAAGCAGCATGAATCAAGTCCTTATTATACCACGGAGCCGAATCAGCAAAGCGGCTTTGGAAGGGGAAACATGCAACGCTCTCCTTATGCGACCGGTCAGCCCGTACATGGTAGAGTAGGACCGGATGATCTAGCCACAGCAGAACACCAACCATGTGGCCAAAAAAGTTCATATCAACAACATTCATACGAACGTGCATTCGACGACGGAGAGCTTGGAGACGACAATGAGGAACCTTCTCTTGGTGAGGATGATGCCGAATTCCACCCGGGTGCAAGTCCCGCCAAATCAGTCCAATCAGGGAGATCAAGACCCAATAATCAGACCAAGTTATCCCATCAAGCAGCTTTTACGCCAGCGGAGAATTTTCAGGCCACTGACAAGGGATCAGCCAGGCCAGGACGTTCTCCCAAACGAAGCACTGGTCAGAATATGGCCAAACCCTTTGACATCGCACACCTGAGCATGCAACACTTGGCACGGTGCAATCCCCCAGTTCGATTATGCAGCTATGCTGAAGCACGTCGGCGTACTAAGCTTCCCGATGCTGTTGAGGAACTGTGGAACCATCTCGACTCCGTTCCGAAGAATGCCATACCTCACGAAACGAGAGTCAGTATGGAGGATTTGAACGCTGTCAAGAGATTAGCTAACAATTGACAGAGTTCATATCGCAATGACGAAAAGATGACTCCTCGGAGGAGTAGAAAGGCCCCTAATGATCATGAGTTCTCCAGCGCAACCCAACCTTTCAGGCTCTCGGACCATGCCCTTCTAGACTTCAAAAAGGAGATAGACTCTATTCTGACCGAGGCACGCTGGAACGAATTCTGTCAGGCCCACGAACGCCAGTGGGGCAACGTTGCCTCCCGCTTCCTCAACACGATCATCAGGCTACCACACGTTTATCCCTGCCGACTTCTAAATATGTAGGTGTCTGACTCTAGAAAGCACGCTATTGCTAATGAAGTTACAACCAGCGAAAATTGTTCCATCAACCCTGTTCAAATGAGACCGACCCTGAACGAAGGCAAGGGCGGCACCAAACCGCTAATCCACGATGTGAAAAGCAACGAGGTCAGCGAGACCCCAGCCGAGCGCGAGGAACGTGCATTGTCGAAGATGATAGACTGGGGCGTGGCGTTAGCGCTTGAGGACGACGACCTTAAGTCTGTTGAGCTCTGCTTTGGCGAATATGAATACCACTTAGAATGCACACTCACACAATGCACGACATATATCGATAAATGCCCCATCTTCATCGATATCGAGATGAAGAAGGCCAGCGTTCCGGATCCCAAAATCCAGCTAGCGGTATGGAAGCAAGCTGCGCTCAAGAAGCGTCAGCATCATGGCTGGGATACCAAGGTTCCAATGCCAGGTATCACGGTCGAAAAGCACGAGTGGAACTGCTATCTCTTCTTTAAGTCTCAAAACAACCTGGTAGGTTCGGAGCTTTATGTTACCATTGCCATTCCCCAAGGCGCAGCCCTCAATATGTGACTTGCTAATGCCGGCTATAGATCATGCTTGGGCCGCAGAAGCTCGGAGGCACCAACGACCGCGGCTCCATCTGGGAGCTCGCCCGCAAGCTCAACATTCTGATCGACTGGGGCACCAAAGAATACAGAAGCTGGCTTTACACCAGTGTGCTTAACCAACCAGAGCGAGGCAAGCAAGCCGCCCGTGCGAGTCGGCCGCCGTTGCCGAAACGGCTGCCTCTGATAGGGGAAATTAGGGGTTACGATTGGGAGAGGGAGGGGGAGGGGGCGTGTTGGACAGGGTGTAATAAACCCTCACTTAAAGACAAGAAGTAAAGTCAGGCTGATCACCAAGCATAGCATGCATCAATGGGTAGCAGAAGTAGGTTCAGCCAACATGCAAGACGTGCCTCTCTTCTTTCAAAATCAAAGCCACACTCCACGCTCATAAATCGTTGCATACAACCGTGCAGTTTGCCTCAGATTAACAGAGACAGGCATCAGATAGCAAGACAGCAGGTACCCACAGGCAGCTTTCATACAAGAACTCAACATAAGAGCCGATCCCCACTTCGTTCAAGACGACAACGACCTTCACGGGTAACAACAAGCAACATAGTCTTGAGTACGATCATTTGAACCACACACTAAGGCAAACCCCTTTGGACCTGATCCAAACATGGACTTTATTCGGCCATATAACGACCGTGTGCCAGATGAGGACATTCTTATTCACGCGCGTTAACCAGGTATGGAGGATGAAATCGCAAGGGAAATTCACATTGGCGCTTCATTCCGGAGAAACTACTCTTTCAGCTCATGTAGCTTCCCGGTCGTGAGCGGACATCGGACATCAGACACGAGACACCAAATAAGACCACCGGCGAATTTCTTCCTCCTCCATCCTCCTCCGTCCTCCTACATTCTTGCTCGCCATTCATATCTGCACGTATCTCTCGACCAACCTCCCTCATTCTCATCCTAAAGCTTGCAAAATCATCACGCCATCGTTCGCGGACCCCAGCGCAGGAAAACATGCAAGACGGAGCAGAATCAAACCCTCTCCCCACGCTGCCTCCAGCACGAAGCAGAGATGAAGTACTGCAAGCCATCATGACATTTGGCGATGCCGACGGAAATAGAGGAGGATCTGCTCGTCAGGGTGCTGTAAAGGTGACGGAGTTCGCTCCGCCTCGCATGCCTGGACGTTATGCCTCAGCGCCACCTAGTCAAACCCCTAAAGACTGCATGCCAGTCCAACCAGATGCAGGATCCTTAGGTGGTGAGTCAGACCACAGCCATGACCGCGGCCACGCCGTACCAGGCGCTAATGGTGCAGGTTCTCGTCGAGCTCATCCCAAACCCAACCGTCACGTAGCGCAGCACCGTCGTGGGTGGCTCCAGTCACTGTAATGAGTACCTTCTCCAATGCTTGATGGATTTGACTGATACCTGAAGCGCGCCGATCTGTCTGCTATTCACATGGGCTGGTTGCCTGCTGGCCAGCATCCTGATCAGTCTGACCTTCAATTACTCCCTTCGTGACGAGCCCCTGCCCTTTCCAGGCTTCTGCAACCCATCCCACCCCCTAGCCGCCTACTCGCTCCCTTCAACCTGAAGCTCAACATCGACTACGACGTCCACGCGCGGATCTTCGCACAACTCAACGAAACCCCTATACTTCCCTCCCTCAAAACAACCCGTCGTGCTGCCTTGCATTCTCTCGAAAGTCTCAACACTAGGCTCACTTTGGATCTTCCATGCGCGTTAAAATACTACCCAGGAAAAGCGGCTGAAGAGGAGGAAGGGAATCTGCACCTTCTCCCAACGATCCTCGCCACGAAAGGAATGACGAAGAGCGCCATCCACGAGCTCGAAGAATTGCGAAATAGCTTCAAAGATCTTGAACCGGGCTACGAGAACGCTGTCAACACCTCACGCATCGCCTACCAGCAGTCCCTCCCCTTCTTGCCCTCATTCCGGCGCGACGCTTTTTACGCCTCGTTCTACAAATACGCGTTTAGGGGCTATTACGCCGCCCAGGACGCAGCTGTCGCAATGAAGCAGCAATGGGGGCGAAACATGTATCAACGCGCATCGGCGTCTGCGTCGCGCATCCTCCACCGTGAACGCCACGATAGCTAGGCTAGAGGTGTTTCTGATCGAGCTAGAAAAGCTGGAGAAAAACGCCCTGCATCCCGACACGCTCAGCTTCGGCCAAAGCCCTGAGGGATTGGGTACGAGCATGAATACCACGGTTGGCTCCACCAACACCGCGTTCTCAGGGTTTAGGTCCCGGCTGATGTCGTGGGTGCGTGGCGAAGACGCTATGCAAGACGCCGAGGATCCCGATGTCCAGGCAGTGCGTGAGTGGTTGAAAGGCTGGTATTTCCGGCATGTGTTCGAGCCTGCTGCTCCTAACACGGAGATGAGTAGGGCAAGGGCGGAGAAGGAGTGGAGGGATGTGCAGTGTGGGTGTTTGAGGGGTGCGTAGGTGAGGTGGAGGCAGGATAAAGATAGAGTTGGAATGAGGGGGGAAGGGGGAATGGAGGGGAGGAAGGCTGGGGATTTGGAGATGCTTTTTTCGGATTGTCAATGAGAAGAAGTGGAGACGATAGTGGAGGATGCAGGTCACAAAGGCTAGGTAGAAGGAGGTAATTTACTGGATAAGGCGATGGATCCATAGACTTCTCGGTTGTCATCGAATCTGATCTCCTATTTCATAAGGGAACTATGAAAGAATACATAGCACCAATGTTATCATCTTAATCTCAATGTCGTTGTCAGGTCAAATCTGCTCCAAAGTCAAAGAGCCGGATGAACGCTTTCAAGCCGAAATTCAAATGAAAAGTTTTATTCTTCCCTGTCAAAAGGAAATACTCTCCCAGCGCTGGGGCTTGGAAAATCGAGTTGGTAAGCGGTGAAATGGCTGACTCGTCCCTTTCGTGCGTAGGGGATTGGGGGTGGAGGTGGGGTAGGGGGTTCCCGCAGTGATGAGGATGATAGCAATGATGATGACGATAATGGGAGTAACAACAACCCGTAAGATGATCTTACAATAATAAGTGGGATATGCAACTTGGGACTGTTCAATATCACAATTCTGGATATTGATTATCCACCCATCATTCATCATCGTTACTGATCTCACCGTCATCTTCCTCCGTACTCTCCTCCTCATATTCATCTTCGTCTTCACTATCGGCAACTACCTTCTTCCCTCTCCCACTTTTCCGTGTCTTGGCCGGTCCCTTTCCCTTGCCCCCGAAGACACGTGCTAACTCCGCCCTCACTTGATTGCCTACTTTGTCAGCACCGCTCTTCTTCACCTGGGCGCTGAGATGGAGATCGTTGAGGTTCTTCATCGCGGAGTCGAAGTAGGCGCCAGAGGTTGGAGCGTTGCGGTCGAGGCTAGTGAGCGATGCGATTATGAGCGCTGTTCATGTAGGAGGGATGAGAAGGGAGGACAGCTGGAAAGTGAGGAGTCGGAGAGGGAAGTGGACATGGCTAAGGGAAAGAGATAGGGAGTCATAGAAGGAGAGAGGCTGACCAGTTCTCAGTCAAACACTCCTGCAGCCAAAACAACGATCCAACGCCAAAGCGCTCACACAACACATCCAGCACCTTTCCCCGGGCCACCATCTTAGGAATATCTTCCATCATCTTCTCCGCCATGTCGTTTTCTGTAATGCCATTCAATCGCCCACCCGCAGACCCCTGCATCAAACCCTCCACCTGTCAATTCCACAGCGTCAGCACTACCTTCTTCAGATCGTAAAGAAACACTTGCGCCAAAGCTGGAGGGCTGAAGCTCCAGACACCATAGCTTGAGCTCATCTAACGCATACACAATGGAAGGAGATGGACTGTGGGGGATGGACCCACCATCTCCCTGCTTTTTCGCTTGTTGATATGACCTCCCTTGCCAAATGCTTGTTCAGCATAATCCCCAAAGAAGAGGGCAAGAAAAAGGCTACGGAGACGCCCATACACGTCCCTCGATTGGGATGTCGTGGTGTAGAGAAAGGCTGCCGCTATACCCTCTCCCAGGTTCACGTAACTCGTTGTTGCTGATGCATTCAACCCGCCATTTTGGGCATACATTAAACTCAACACCGGCTCCCCTTTTGCCTCGAGCAGCAGCTCGGGTGAGAAGTCTGGCTGCTCCAACAGGGAGGCCACGGTGGGGTGCAGAGAGAGGCTTTCGAGGCGGCGGATAGAGTGCCACATCTTTGAGTAGGGGTTAAAGTTGGCGTTGCTTGTGCGCTGCCTACCTGGCGTTTTGCGGGGGCGGCCCATTTGCTTGCGTGTGGTTGTAGGTCTCGAAGAATCAGCTAATAGGTCTGCCACGTTGTTGTTCTTTCTGGTGACAGAGGGAGTTGATTTGGTCTTCTTATGGAGTGCTGAGGTGTCATCTTCGTCTAGGTTCGGCTCTGATCTTGCTTTCCTCTTTTTCTGGCTACGATTGCCAGGTCCAGACGTTTCACGTTCAGAATCTTCATATTCAGACTCTTCATGCTCAGACTCTTCAAGTTCAGGCTCCTCATGCTCAGAAGGGCGTTGTTCAAGTCTGCTGCGTGTAAACCTGTCACGATCATCTTTTTCACCACCTTCCTTGACGTCTGGTGCCTTGTCCTTGACCCGTTCACGCATTTCCGCAAGGAAACCCTCCAAAGCTTTGGCCTCGCGTTCTTTCTTTCGTACTTCTTCAGGCGCAAGTACTCTTGACGACTGCATCGGAAACAGAAGGCCCAAGGCATAGATGGCTTGTTTCTCTGGATGGCTGAGGGCGTCTTTCGCGAGCGAAGCGACAGCTAGGAAGCCCTGCACGTGTAAGTAGGTGGTAGAGAGGGGGCAGTGGATGATACTCACATGAGGATGTAGCGAAGCTTTTAGACATTGAAGAGTCTCCTGTGGACTGAGGAACCAAGAGTCGTCCACTTGGTGGGGATCCTGCTGGTTCAACATTTTTGCGGTGGATGGCCGAAGCTTTCACCCCAGGCGAAAATCGAAGAGAAGCAGCAAATTGAAGTATGAGACTCCAAAGAGGCATATTCATCCTCTGATAGCCGGATCCTGTTGGTTGCCCTTGACTAGCCTTGCTTAAACGCCGACTCGGATGTCCGCTGCGGCCATTGGGAAGGGGGAGGGGCGTGAATGGCGGCCATTCTCGCGAGCTCCGTGTGATTGTGCCAAGGCAACAAGCGATGAGTCTGATGATGGTGGCACTCGCTACTGCTGCTGCTGCGCATGGGTAAAGGCTGAAGTGAGAATTGGAGCCAGAGATGAAAGTACACTCGATGTAACGATCCTGACCAGACAGGCTTGCTTAGTAATGCTCGGACATAAGCGGACATACGGGCTTCGGGCCTCCGTGGTAAGACAACACCCTTAAGGAGGAAAGTCTCTATATTTGGTACGGCTACTACGGGTACTTGATAAATCAATGATACTCAAGCTAGTGCGCTCACCGTTTTCTACCCATCCACCGCCCTCTCGGCCCTCGTTTCTAGAGCTTAGCCCCATCGTGTCCCCGCCGCCGTGCTCGGAATGCACGAATATCACGCCACAACACCCTAACAGGGCCCACAATAGCCCGTACAAGCCATGTAAGCGGCAAGCCCAGGTAGTGAAAGCCCAGAAAGCCAGCTAAAAGAGCAAGCAAGGTCAGAACAAGCCAGAAGATCACCTTCACCCACCAGAGAAATTCTTTCAACTTTTCCATGACCACTTTGAACCAGGTAAAGGGATTGGGGCCCCATACATCTTCGAATTCATGCTCAAAGACTGGCCTAGACCCCGGCGATTGTGATCGGAAAGAGGGGAGGGAGGGCCGGCGCCACAGGAACGGGGTGTAACTCGTAACCCACTCAACCCAGCCGCCAAACCAACGCCATGGTCCAGTAACGGTAGACCAGAAGCTCTCCCGACTCGGCAGCTGTTCGCGAACAAGCTCCCAGCACCATTCCTTCAACGCCTCCAACATCTTATCGAAGGCCCATTTCAGCATGCTCCAGCAGATATCCACGGGGTTGAGCCGGTCTTGCAGCGCATTTAGTTCGGCTCCCACATGGGCTTTGACGCGGAAAAGGGGCGAGACGACTATGCGCTCAAGGTAGGGTTGAGGGTGCCTCAGGAATTTGAAGAGCGGGGCGATGGTGGTTTGGAAGGAGCAAGGAAGGGATGTGAGGAATTGACGGATCGAGGGGTAGTGGCGATGGGGCTTGGGCCTGTTGGGTTGGGTGATTTGGTTCCCATGGGATCGCCCACTCAGGTCGCGCTGGGCCGAGAGGTATGAGCGGAGCACGCCTGGGGCGGAGTAAGTTCTTGTGGGGAACGGGAGGTTGAATTTCTCGTTCAAGGTGTGTTTGTCGGAGATGGAAGGAAGGCGGTAGGAGCCTGATCGAGGGGGTGCTTTCGTTGATGGTACAGCTGTTGGGGATGCTGGTTGGGGGGAGCTACATAGATGTGTGGGTGTCGTTGAGTCGTTCGTGGTAGGGTTTGGAGGAGTTGCTAATGCCGGCGTGGCGATAGAAACATCACTGCCATCATGCGGGAATTCGGTATGGATGTGAGTATGAGTGTGTATGTTCGGATGGTTTGCGACCGGGGTGGGAGTGAATTCACCCTGTCCGTACGCACCATTGAGCAAACTAAAGAGCGCGGCGGCCAGATGAAGGTGTCGAGTGAGTCCCTTCCCTTGCATTTTAAGAGTTGTGATGGTCGAGAAGTTCAGAAGTCAGGATCTTTTATTACATCCATCGGATGTCCGTTCCCGCCAGCTCCGCTTAGTTCCATTTACATGTCCGACCGGCCTTCGAACCTGTCTTTCGCCTCCTGATACCTGTTCTTTTCTTTACCACATTCCTTGAAATTGTTCTGAATGGCTGATGAAGACTTCTTCGAACAATTCGCTGGTAAGGGGAGCAGTCTGAGTCCTCGACTGCCGTGGAGCGATCCCGGGAAGGGGCCTGCACTGGCCACTCGCCGAAACAGTAACTCCCAGGGCCAGTTCCTGATGAGTGGTGCGCTGAACTCAGACAAACATCCATCAATGGTTAGTAGTATAATCCGGTGATACGTGCGGCTCTTGACAGTGGCTATGAATAGCGCCCAGGTATCTTTGGACGTCAGGATCGTCTGTCGGAGCATCATACAGAGCAACTGCCAGAGGAGTATGCTGAGGTATGTAGAGCATTTTGTCCCTTCAAGTTCTCGCCAGCCTATAGTGATGATCTCAGGATTCGAGAACTTCAAGTCTGGCCAACCCTTTACTTGAGCCGGATACTGGGGACGTGCAACGGTCGTCTGTTTCACGCATCGTCCTCTGGGCTCTCTGTAGTCTCTTGGCTCTCGCTTTCCTGGTGATCTCAATTATTGTTCTATTCCAAGGAGAAGAGCAGATCGTCTCGTTTGGGCGAATTGACGTTGACCCCAATTGGAAGTCCCAACCAGCCTACCGGCAGCAATTGCGGAAGGCATTTCACGTCGTCTCCAATACTACCGCCTTCACCAATGAATTTAATTCGATTTACCTGCCAACCGATTTAAATCTGGCGGATGAGGCCCAGCTTATCGAGAGACATGTTCAAGGAGCAAATGACTATAGCGACATAGCATACGAGCTTCTCGGGAGGAAAATCATAGCGTCTTTCTCGTCCAACGACCTCACAATGGAGAATCTCCATACCTCAAGGTTGCTGGTCAAGGGATCCATTCAAGCGACCGCCAAGACTATCGACGAACACGGGAACGCGCTGAGAGGTATTCGACGTTTACGTGCTAAACTCAAACAAGAGAGAATCGCTCACGAGCTAGAACTGAATGCCTCTGAAACCAAACTCCAATCTTACGAGAAACGGAAAATATGGAATTGGGACTCTATTGGACCCAATGATCATGAGCGAAACCAAGAGAGAAGGACGCGGATCAGCGCATGTAAGAATGCCATATCGAAGCTCTACAATGCTGAGAACTGGGTGGATCAGAGCCTCCGTCACTGGGAGATCATCAAAGATAGGGCGGCAGGCTTGGAGCAGCAGTCTGGTTTGATGCTGAAGTTGGAGGAGTTGGCTTCAAGCGGCCAGATGACACCAGCGCAGCTGGGAGTGAGCTTGGTCGAGAGATCCCAAGCGGTCCGAGAGGTGGTGGAGTGTATTTGGAAGGAAGTGATGGAACGAGAGGCCCAACCTTCTTGAAGCGATCGTCCTCCCAGCGTGCACTTCGATCGTCGAAAGGGAAGATCAGCGGCCTGGTAAATATTTCTGCTGTTCCACCTCACTGTCGATTTCAATCCCCAAAGACAGATCGGACCAATCGACCAGGCGATCCTCATCAAGTGAATGCAAAATCAGCGTATTAATATGTCTAATGAGTCAATGTGGCAAGCGGAATCGACGGTCTGTAGGTCCAATTGATGAATGAGCTGTGACATTTTTATAATTGCTTTTGATCAGTTGAAGGTGAATTCTCAAGTGCGATAATTGCAGGAGAAGGGCCATGGGGGGTTTCCTACAAAGGTGACCCCTCATATCAAAAGTAGATGAGTATTTTAATTTATTGGAATGTAACAAGCTACAATGGCGCCGCAATCTCCGCCAAGCCACTAGGCCATATCGAGTCTAGTAGCTTGGCCTCGATAGGCTCCATTGGTCAAGATTAATCAGGGGATTACTCCTTTAGGATTGTATCAGCAAGGCATTTTGATCCTTGATTCATCTCACAATCACATTAGTGGGCAAAGGTCCAGACCATTCCTCATCTACGCTCACAGTTCATTTGACCATATGCGTAACCATACAACACGCCCGCAGTAGTGGAATTAAGAAAAGAGAGATAGAAGTGGCCCTTGGCAACGCCGACGGTCTTGCTCCATATGGCCACTGCAACCCCAAATCTGCGCTGGGAAGGGGATCGAAAGGTGGGTGCCGTGAGAGTTATAGTTGTTGGTGGATTTCACGGTCTGACGAGTATGAGAAGCAGCCCCTGCGGCCATTGCTACGGTACCTCCCTCCTCCTCCGGCCCACAGGCATACACGACTCGAGCGTATTTGGGACTTAGGCCATCACTACCGCTCGCCGGACTCCAACAACGAGAGTATGTAATAGGCAAAATATAGTACAGGATAGGCTAGTTCTAATGGTCTACCCATCGGGTCTGGTGGACGTATGGGCGATCAATGGGCGAAATCGCAAGCCGGGGAGCAGAATCCCACGGCAAACATCTGGCAAGAGGCTATTACAAATACAAGAATGTTACAGGCCCTATGAAGATGGCTCGGGGTCTTGAGAGGCATTGATCGTGGGCAAGAACCTCCTCCTCCACACGATGGGATGCATGGCCACGCGGCAAGCAGCAGTCTATATGTACGTGAATGCTAGAGGCTATACAATGATAGCGAAGGATGTTAAGATGGCCGCACCCATGTGTTGGTCATGGAGTCTGCGGCAAGTTCGTTGTATAGGGAGAGAGACTCTTGATATGAGGAGAATGGAGAATAGATCATTATGTTCGGAGGAGAGCCTGTGAAGGAAGCGGAGGCAGTAAACGGGTAAGTGGGAAGTCACATGCACGTTGTTCTCTCTGTCTTCTCTCTTTTTTCGTGCCGCCTAGCTGGGGCGTTTCGTATGGATTTCGTATTTGGACTGCAAAGATTTTGGTAGATGTCACGCAGGGTCAGGATGACGATGTGACGCTTCGATCGACGACGTTGGATCGGAAAGGGTGCGGGTTGCGAAAATGGTGGAGCGGGTTGAAATGGTGCTATACGGATGTTTGGCTCTTACGACGTTAACGCTAAACCCTCCAAACCAGCTTTTTCTGGAGGCGAAAGGGAGAAATCGATATCATGTGATGATCGGCTGGTTATATCCTGGTGCGTTAGCTAGGTGATGCCGCATTAGGAACGCTCGACGTAGGCGAAGTGAAATTATCTCGATCTATCATTGCGTGTCTTGCAGCTGACAGATAGACTGGATCGTGTCTCTAAGAGTCCGGAAAACGCTCCCTCATAGAAACTCAGTCTTGAAATACTCCTCCGGTTTACCCTTGTCGAACGCCCTCTTCCTGATCTCCTGCAGACTACGTCCCTCATAGGCTTCGTAATTGGGCGGAAACCCACACATCATCTTCCCCGTCTCCGTGTCTTTCTCTCGATTCTGCCGATTCCACTGGAAAGCCAAGCGTACCCAGACTTTGATACGGTTCATCTGGTGCCGCTTCTGTTCATTGTATAGCGTTTCGGCGCGTCCATGGTCCGTCCGCGCGTACCCTTTTTGCTGTACACAAAAGGTTTCAAGCTTCACCTATTCTAGATCCAGGTCGTGGCCTTGAGGTATTTCGTGACATTCCATTTCCTTAAAGCCAGCCAGGTTCTTCTCGCCAAATTCTTCCGTGAGAGCGGATTTGGCTGTGTACTTCTTGGTGGCCTCCTCTGTATGAAGATTTGTTAAGGTCGGATCGACGACTGAGTTCGCAATGGCGAAGTGATCGGACCCCTCGGGGTCGGCGGTCTCCTCTCGCCTCTCCTCACTTTTCACTCTAGCATTCTCACTCCCTGTACTACCGATACCCTCGCCCTCTCCTGTTTCCTTGCCCTTGCACTCACCATTACCATCGACCTCACTTTCACCCTTCCATGCAGATGGTGCGACACCATCTCGCTCAGGCAGGACAAAAGGCACCCCCGGCTCTGGCGTACTCATCGAGGTAGTGTTTGTAACTTTATCATCGTCGTCCTTATCATTTGCCTCATTGCGCTCTTGGCGTTGAAGCGAGGCGGGAACTCCTGCTGGTGGAAGGGCAGATTCCGTGGACCCTGAGGGTTCAGAAGAGATGACGTCCATAGGTAAGTGTGGCTGGTTTGAGATGAGAGGGGTTTGGGTGTGTGCTGCGGTGGTGGTATTGCCCCTTCCCGACCCAGAATCCGTCGGAGAGGGTTTTGCTGGGGGGTTGGATAAGTAAGGAGTTGATTCAGGGCGTATAGCATTGGACTTCCCTAGCTTTCTGTCGCTGGACTTCGGCTCTCTTGCGCCGGCTATAATGTCTGATAATTGGTCTTGCCCTTCTGACTTTTGGCCCATGAGTGAAAATGTTGGAGCTTCGCTTCGCTTCGTTGGGGGCTTTCTGATTGAGGACTTGGTGTGCGAGATTCAGGGGTTAGATCCTCGACCCTTCTATCGCTGACCTTAGACCCGCTCGCCATGTTCCTGTGAGTCGATTGCTGGTCATGTCTCAGAGAATTGTCGGCTATTGGTGAAAGCGCAGACGCCAGATTTTGTTCAACCAAAGCCTCCTGGGGTTGACGATTAGATCGGCGGTCTTGACAGACAGGATACTGGGCTTCCTCAGTGCTTATTTTCAGCTCACCGTGTGCTGAGCCTTGCGGTACTGTTGTCACTAGCGATGATGGGCTTTCTTGCAAGGACTCGGCCTTCGGTGCTTGTATTGGAAATCCACTTTTTTCTGAAGCATGTTCCTTCGGTGCGTTTGCACTCAACACCTTCGATTCGCCCTGGCTTGCATTCCTCATATCGTCTTGTTGGATTGAATCCTCCTCATGGTTCTCTTTGGAGGGCGGTTGTGCATTGCCTGACGAAAACCCGGATTTCTCCGATATAGCTTGCTCTGGGAGGCCAGCGTTGGCGCTGTCTCGCTGGTGGGTGTTTCCTACATTGCTTCTGGTACCGGGATCAGCATTGGCAAGGCCGCTGTTGTGATCTTCAAAAGACTTTATGGTCGGAGATTCCGGCTGAGAGTTCTGAGAATCATTCATCAGCCGACTCTGAACATTCTGAAGCCCTTCGAGCACCTCAGAAAGTATCAAGTTCTGGTTTGCATCCGCGGGGGCATCTCTGCTAAGCCGCCCCCGATCTGAGTGACCTGCCTGAACTTGGTCGAAGCGCATCTGCTTCTGAGAGCTATCCACAGAGGCACGTTTGGTAGCCCACCACCATTGTGAAAATCTAGTTTGGTGTTATTATGTAACTCCTAACAAGGCGTCTACATCACTCAAAGCTTATACATGTATACAGCCCACGCGGTCAGGTATATTCCGAGTAGGAAGCTTTCAACTGGTTCCTTTATATCATGCCATTCTCGATTGCTAAGACCCACGTTGCCGGTTCCCAAAGCAATGTTCATCATTTTGCTGGTGACAACTGGAATGATGAGGATCGGAACCACGAGCCACCCCAGATGAAGGATTATCCGATGCAATCCGTTCATATCGAGTAACCTACGGTGCGTCGTTTCTAGGAGCATCAGGTGTATTTCTAGGAAGACGTTCGAAAGACGCTGGATAATAAAATCGCATATCTCAGAGCGGAGATGAAAGACGGGTAGGTACATGCCCTCTGACCTCCGCCCTCTTTCCGCGATGATGTGTCTATCTCCTGCACTTAGCGGCCAAAGTTCTTTGTTTCCCACTCGTCTCGCTTGTTGCGGTCTTCAATGAAAGACTGCAAAACCCAGAAGGCGCCGACCAGCCCACATGAACCAAGCACGAACCACTCTAAGTTCTGCCAGATATGTCTCGCGGCTCGCACCAGCATACCCTTCGTCCTCCTCAACCCCCACCTCAAACCCTTGAGTCCTGCAACAAGAGCGACGATAAAAATGGCAATGAGAACGAGTCCAAGCAAAATGAACAACATCATCCCCGTCATAGCGCCCCGGTAAGATACTCCACAAGCCTCCATGACCCGGAACACAGATGGCTGCCACAGCTGTTGCAAACTCGCCCCCCAACTTTGCAATCCCGTCCAAGAATCCCTCAACGTAGCCGAGAACCACTCGCCTATGGCCTTCCAAGGCAGCAGGCTCCAGAGATAGTGTGACGCCGCACTCACCACGGCCCATGCTTCCTTGATCAGGGCACGGATCGAGCGTAACCCACCGCCAATGCTGGCCGAAGCAGGAGCAATCTGTTTCCGACCTTTCCGCCAAAGATCCGCACCCTGTTCCCCCGCACGCTCAGCCAACGTATGCACCCTCTCTATCTTCTCCTCCCAGTCCCACTCCTCGCACGTGTCTACCAAATGCCCCCATCCCATCCTCACCCACCCCAGCGGGACCCCTACCACCCTTTCCCTTAACCTCCCCACGTCACTGTCCTCGTGAGCGAACATGGAGAGCCAGAGGAAGACATCAGTGAGCAGGGCGAGGACGAGGACCTTTCTCTTGACCTGACGCTTGTGGGAGCGAAGGTTATAGTAAAGGAGGAGGACGAAGAGGATCATCGTTCGCGACAAGTAATGTATGTAGCTATTGCGAAAGTCGAACCTGATGTACTCATGGGAAGGAGATGATAGTCTTAGGAAGTTCTGAAATAGCAAGATCGAACGGTTCAAAAAAGAGGATTCTTAGGGTGAAGGGGGAGACGCCAAGGAATATGAGAGTGATGTGATACAGAGATATCACTGAGAGGATTTTATGTTCGCTTTGTGTCTGACGATGGCGAGAAGCAACGACCGGTCGGAGAAATAGCAATCAGCCATCAATAAGATCATTGAGGCACATACTATCTTGTGCTTCCACCTTGTTTGTGTAGCCACAGCAAGCATAGCAAGCCACCCGTTTTGCCTGAATTCCTTATCACGATGTAACAAGCAAGCAAGCAAGCAAGTGGATAATGATCTCTCTATCCAAAAACTTAGGCTTGAAAAATGACCAAATGTTCGAATGCGAAATTCAAATTCTCCATCATAATGAACACAACCCCGTTTCATCAGTATTTTTGTGCTTTCATCGATGGACAATCGCCGTCTACGGCAAACTTAGGTATAATTTCCAAGCCAGCTCAAGAAACGAGGCAACGCAACTTGCACAAGGGCGTTGGTTTGAATGTTGGTTATTGGGCTATCAAGCGTACACAAGATGAAGGAGGCTAGCTAGATCTTACATTCAGCGGCTGGTCGGGCGTTTTGAGTAGTTGGTTCTCTGCCTCAAGAATGGGACGAAAAGTCGCTGCGGTCCTTAATCCCAACGCGCTCTCTTTCCCTCCCCGCGTAGTCTACTTGATTTTATTAATTGATATACGTTACGAGGTCGTATGTGTTGGAGGAGAAACTTACGATGCATTGCTTTATACATTTACAAATGAATGAGCTTGAGAGACGGGGCCAATGACGGCGTGTTTTGTGGCCTGGTTTTCAGAGGTGGGAGATGGTTGTAGTGGGGGAGACGACTTGATCATGAAGAGGGACGATGGAAGGCTGAAGATCTATCGGACTTTGGAGATCAGAACGAGGGACCGGGCACTGGAGAGCGTGGAAAAACTTGTGGTTAATATCCGATCTTTCATTTAAGAACGATTGTAGGGACGGAGGAGGAGGAAGAAGAAGAAGAAGAATAGAATGGTCAGTCTGCCCATCCACCCATCACAATCCGCTCATCTCCAGCCCTTTAACTTCGTCTGCTACCAATCTCCTTACCAACCCACCAGACCCAACCTCCCTTTTCGACAGCGTCACCAATCACCTCGACAATCGCGACCAAGTCTGCGTTAGCCAATTCCCTTGCGGCTTTAGGTCCGCCACCATAACGGTAACCTGCCACTCCGGCCTCCCACTATCTACGACGCATCAGCATCGTACCCACCACCCTCGAAACACAATGGAACACTCACCTTTCCCCTTTGTCCAAACCGGCCTAACCTCCCACGGGCGCGCCCGATGCTTAAGCACCATCCCCACCCCCATGCCACTTCGCCCCCAATACTTCGTCCACAAGCCTCTTCCCATATCAGCCGGTGTCCAGGCATCGGCGAATCCGCGGCCCACAGACCAGACTTTGCGGTCCAGCCATTCGCCGTACCTATTCCAGACGCGTTCTGCAACAATGATCAAACATATTAGCACGTGTCCACCAATTCCGCCCCACCGACTACCGGAAAGAGGGGGAGGGGAGGGGGGAAAGTGGGAATACTCACGAGTCCCCTCAGGTTTCCACCCCGCCCTTCCCTGAAACACATAATTCCCATCCCAGGCGAACCCGCCACTCATGTCCGGCCCTAGAGAGTCCCCCTCGTTGAATTGATTCGTCCTCGGCCCGGAGTCGAGGGTGCCGTCATCTTCTTTCATGACCAGGATCCAGCCCTCTTTCATCAGGCGCCGGACGCTGAGCGTGTTGCCGTTGCGGGACTTCGGAATCAGGAGAGTTGATGTGAGGAAGACAACGTGGGGGGTGTACCAAAGGCGGTAAGGGTTGACCCAGGGGGGTAGATTGGCAGGGTGAGGGAGTGGGTGGCGCGTTCCCTGTGTGCTGCTGTGTGCAGAAGTCAGTGGAGGGACAACGTAGATTGGGGGGGAAGGGGAGGGGGGATGGGGCATGATGGGGGGAGTTGCTTGGATTTCTCACCCAACCCAGGATGAAGAGAGAAATACGTACTACTATCGCGTCTGACTACGTCCAGATCGCCACTGCCTTCCACGTCCAAGTCCCAATGATACGAGTCTCCCGTCTGCGCGCCCGCCACGGACTGCGGGTAGAATGTCTTCGCTTTGGCCTGCTTCTGCTCCTCGGAGAATTCTACGCCGGAAGCGGGCTCATAGCTACCATAACCGACTTCGAGCTTTCCGAAGAGAGCGGATCCAAGAGGGGAAAAGCTCGTATTGTCCATTGTGGCGACCACGTGGTGGCTGCCGGTGAAGTCGAGTGTGAAAGTTTGCTGGGATGCAAGCGGGTATGGGGACGCGAGCTCGCACTCGAATAGCACGACGGGGAGGCTGAGGATACCGATTATGCTCACGATGAGGCGCCATTTTTGCCAGGAGGTGTAGTTGTGGGTCCAGTCGTGGCGGAAGGCGTTGAGGCGATTGCGTGGGGGATTGAGGACGGCGTTGAGGGCGTTGCGGACGGAGTCCATGATTCCGTACTGAGCCAGTCCGGGGAATGGGTGGAGATGAGGGAGAAGGATGAGGAATCAGGGCGAAGTGAAAGGATATGCTCGTCGATCAGGGCGACGGGCCAGGCGAGGCCACTGTGGTGATGATGGCTGGCCGCATCCGGCAGGGGATGGTTGACAAACAAAGGCAGAAGGGTTGGGGTGCCCCCCATCTTTTCCATTGATAGTTCCAATGATGAGAGGGTAGATATAGATTGGGAAAGAGATGACAAGAGGAGGGGAAGAAGACCGCGCAATGCTGCTGCCGCATTGTGCGAGACAGAGGGAATGAATGCCCGTCGACAGCGATGGTGGATGGTAAGGGGTTAAAGCCCGCTTAGAGCTGCCCTAAAAAGTGAGCGGGGGCTGGAGTTACGGGCAGTTGCACACGTCGTGCCTGCCAAGCCGCCCCTAGAGAGAGCCCGTTCCCGGGGACGGGCACCACCCAGGCACCCAGGCACCCAATCACCTTAAGCTACGTTGCGGTCCGCAAGCAGTGGCCCCAAACCATCGCACATCATGACGAATTCCTATCCTGCTCATGTTTGTGCCTTATCCACCTCATCTCAAATATGATGTAGCATCGATGATACGCCGCCCCTACCTGCACGGTTACGGGATGTGACGAGGGGTGTGTGTTGGATCTGGGTGCAACGTTTCTGTCGTCACCCGCGGTATCTCCCTCTGGTCCCTGCCCGTGCTAGGCATCGACGAAATGACAGTCTAGACTCATCATTATGGATTGTCTACAAAGAATGAATGATCATAATAAAGAACACATTTCCCAGGACAAGGAAAACGTATGAGTTTTATTCCCCTGATCTCCCCCCTCCTCCCTTTACTTCCTTCATTGTCCCCATCTCCCACCGTCATTTCAATCTTCAATTTGATACACCGAATCACGCTCCCAACATGGGTTTCCCCTTCGATCACCTCCAAGTAGCATACACATGGACTAAAGCAAGACTTGAAAACCTCGTCTTCACCGAGGGGAACCAGAGAGACTTCGGCTGGCGTGTGCACTGGATCCAGGACCTCAGGGAGTTCCTCTGGATCTGCTTCTTCGCCTTCTATGCCTTTCACTGGGCGCTCCTAATGATCTACGCCTTCTCAATCAGTTTCTGCATCTGGGGGCTCTGTGGCATCCCTGGCATCGATACCTTCTCGCCAGGATCGGCCACGGTGCCCCCTCCGCAAAATCTGTCGATTGTTCCTCCCAGTTCGGATTTTTCGAGGTTTTTGTTGGTGGCTCACGAGGAGCTCAGGAGCCTGGGGATGGATGTTCATGGCCTGAAGGGTAATCTGAATCGGGCGCCGTTTGAGACGCCTGTAGTCAACTCCGAGACCATCAAAGGACTAGGTAAGTAAGGAATGAGATGCCCCTTATGCACGTGTGAGAGTAAAGGTGGTGCTTATGCTCGTCCAGCAAAGTTCTCCAACCGAACCCTTTCCTTCGCCACCCCCATTTCGAAGTATTCCTCCGGTGTCTGTAGGCTGATGGACACCCTGACCCTTGACACCTCCAGCTTCTTAGGCGTTGTCAGTGCCTACAAAGACTGGGAGAATTGCACAAACACGGCGTATTGCACCACTTCCTACTCCACCAGCTTCTTTTTCCCCCTGTACGAAATCGCCTGCATTGTCAATTCGCATTTGCACATCTCCTGGCTACCCACCTACGCCCCCAGCAGATACCGCGTACAAAGAAAAATTCGATATGAATTTCAGCGGTTCTACCCACGACAGATGAAGCAGCTCCGCGTCCTCCAACAATTCGCAGAGCACGAATACCCGGCCTTCCGCGCCCAGGTGGGCAAGCTAGTCTTCGATTCTCAGGCTGACATCACCTCCTCATTGATGCCGCTCGAAGACCACGTCCGCGAAATCTACTACTACTTGGGTCCACGGCAGTATATGCCCTTTCTATACCCACAAAGCGTCACGGACAGGCTTCAGGATATTACTGAATTAAAGAAGCACTACAAGGACATCGGGTTTGCTGTTGGAGTGTGATAAGATGGTTGGGGCATGGGGAAAGTATATCCAGGAGCTGCAAGAAGGGCTGGAGGAGTTGGGGGGGATCATTGAAGCGGGGAACACGCATTGGTTGCAGGACATCATGTCGTCATCCTTCCTCCCTGGAATGCGCGGTTCACTCACTGCGTACGTTCCTGAACCCTGTCAATGGTTCGTCAACGGCACCGCCTTTATCGCCTCCTCGTACCTCGAGGAGCAGACATGTCGCGCAGCGCGCTTCCGCGACGTGCTCTTGGGAGCGAATGGACGAAGGGGGGACCTAACCTGGGCAGAGACGAAGTTGGCCGAGGTGGAAGCGTGGAAGAAGCAGAAGGGGCTCGATCGTCAGAGTGGGCGGGAGACGGCAATGAGGATGATTGCAAACCAAAAGAAGAAGGAACGGAAGGAGGGGAAGTCAAGGCAAGGGGGGGCCAGGGAATTGTGACGAAGGGAGAGGCTGAGGGATGATGGGGCAGATAGAGGGAGGAAAAGAACATCAGGTAGATGTTGACGGGTTCTAGGACGCAGAGACAGGATGATCGATTGAGTGAGGGCGGTGGAAACACATTGACTTGGACGGGGAGACGTGGTAAGCATGATGAAGTGGTTCTGGACGACTTGTTCTTTTTCGGATTTCTCTTTGATATTATGACTGTTGATGAATCAAACAAACAGATTAGATGACCAGAAAACTCAAAATGTTACTCCAACTCCCGCAGCTATTTCTCGCTTCCTCAATGCCAGGGTTCAAATATTTTGTAGAAGACTCTTCGAAGCAGCAGAGGTGAAGTGTGTCTCCCGTTGGCGCACCCAGAGCAGAAATTGCTCTTGCGATAGTATACCATCTCAACGTGTCTTATAGATCCATCGCTAGAACCACTTATAATGTCTGTGTATAAGCGCTATGATATACTTGCACTCGCCTTGCATAGTCCTTTACAGCCACAGTCAGTGAAAATATCAAACCCAACCCAACTCCAAACTCACCACCCTTGCAATTTTTACAGCCCATTATGGATGCGCCGGACTAGAATGCTGACATTGCACCGTTGTCGAAGTGGGACAGCTGCGAAAGACACTATGATAATAGTAAAGGCGAAACAGAGGAAGGAGAAAGCAGTTGAAGATGAACAGGAGGAGGCGAAGCTAGCTCTAATGCCTCTGCCAGTGTTTCTTAGTCCTCCGCCGAGGAATGTGCTACAGCCTGCTGCCATCCTCGGGAGCACCAGCCTCATCAGAGCTTCGGGAAGCGCGATTTGGCGCGATTGCATTGCTTGATATTTCGTCTAAGAATGCATACAAGTTCATATTTTGATTTAATCAGAACACTTTGCCCAAGGGTCGCTGTAGAGCCAGCCCCCTTTGACTGTCATTCTACCTCCCACTTCTCCAAATACTTACTCCTTCCTCACCCTGATCCCCCTCTTCTCTTGCTTCTTTCCTCTCTTCTCAGAAAAATCCTCGTTCGTGATCGTCCATGTCGATCTGAAGACGTTCAAGCTCCCGCTGTTGTCGTGACTTTTGCGGTTTGGGACGACGATAGGGCTCAGCGCGGGCTGCTCTCGCATGAGAAGGACCAGAGCGACTAATGGAAGGACAGGGGAGTGAATTCCCGGAGCATGGAGGTGCAACGTCTAAGGCTGGTGGTTGTCGGTCATGATTTGTGTTGTTACGTTGTTGAGCTGTTTCCCATTTCTGATTCCCGGCCTGCGTTGTTTTCACTGCTTGTGCAATCTGCTCTTCAGCTGAATCGTCCGATCGAGAAATCAAGTCGCTCGTAGACCTATTGATCACATCCTCTGGAGCACCGGCCCCTGGACCTGGTCGCGTGTCTCGAGTTGCAGTATCTGATGGGTTCTTCTGTCTGGCGGAAGTGCTCGTAGGTGCTGCAGTGCCGGTGCCGCCACTCAGGTGGTTAGGACCCATTCTGGTAATAGCGTAATCACTGTCCGCCGGACGCGCAGTCGGTGTTGGAGGACGGTTGTCGTTATGCGTCCCCTGTATGTGTTCCCACAACCAATTCATCGCCGCCGTCAGAGATCCTGGGGTGAAGAAGCTTATTCCTATAAAGACTGATGCGATCGCTAAAATCGCAGTCAAACTTTCAGATACACCTGGGATAGTCGGTAGTGCGTTGCAGATCTGCTCCAACATAGTTGGTATATTGGCAGGATCGAAGTCAGGCCCTGTTTGCCAGATGTTGTGAGCTTCCTTGAGTGCCCTTAGGAAAACCTCTCGATCCAGTGCTGGCAGGTCCATGTTCTCTACTATTTCTACAATGTGTTCCCATCGCCTCCCCCCAGGTAAAAGCTCATCAGTTCGAGTAGCAGCACCAGGGACCACCCTATGAATAACGCTAAGTGCCTCATTCACGACGTTGGAATTGAAGTAGGATCTAAAAGACATGATGGTGCCAAATAGAGCAGGGTAGAGATCACTGAGGGGGAGGGCGGTCGATGTTTAGGATAAAGAGTGGCCAAGATCAAGCCAAGAGAAGCCCTCAAGCTGGCCTCGATGATGAAGAAGTGTCGTGAGAGAGGTATCGAGGCTGGTGTTGAAGAGAAGGAAAAAGGGAAGGTTAACATATAAGCACCAATGACTGAGCGTTCATGTAGCGGTATCTCTCCGTTGTTTTTGTGTCTGACATAAGCACACTGTTCATGAATCCAAGGCGGTCTCGGTGCGTATTAGACAGGCACCACTCCCATGCCGCTGGCCGAGATACCTGATAAAATGGTGTTACAGTTGTTTGCACCTCTCGAGCAAGAAGAAAGGCATGCTATTTGCTCTGATTGTATTCTATGTTTGTGTTATCCAAGACGTCTCAATCTGCGAGCCAGAAGAAATGCAAACAATCAGTCGCATACTTAGTAAGACAATGAGGGAGGCGCAGGGCAAGCGGGAACGGGGGGCGAAGAGCGCGAGCAAGAAGACCACATAGCCAGGAAGATGCTCTAATCGCTCATTGCCTATGTTGAGAGGAAGCTATGTGCTCGATCCCTCCTACAATTTCAAATCTCACGCTGGGAGGCTCTTCTCTTGCTGCTCCTCTCAATCACCGCAGCTGACATAGCGGGCGAAAAGATGAAGTCTTGGAGATGCAAACGACGATATTACCTCGAGGCACTACTTACTCTTGCAGCCTGCCCCAAGACTTCAAACTTACATTCAGGTGCACTGCTTGTCCTACAACAATCGATCAAAAGAAGCACAGCAGAGAAAGGAGAGAGGAAATAAAGAGTTTAGAGATTTGAGCTTTTGCTGTTGGGAATTTTGAACAGCCAATACGTAATAAGGAGAAGAAGGACACCGCGTAACACTTACAATTCTCCAGATTTGAAGTGCCATGGAAATACGCAATGAGATATTTGGAGCTTTCTTTGTACAAGTCTAGGAGGCTGATGCGCTTAATACACCGACACTGACTTCACAATCTTTTAGGGGCTAAAGTCAGCTTTGAATAGATTTGGCATTCGCTTGGATGCTTAAGATAAGCACATATTATAAAAAGGGGGTTTGAGAGGCAATGTCATGGACCCGTGATCAACGATCGTGTCTCTTAGATAATAGTATTTGCCTTGATGCCGTCGTCAGCTCTGGCCTACATTAAGACATTGATCGTTCTTGAGAAAAGAAGAAATCGGGCATAGGAATCTCAATTCTGCCAATGCAGATAGCCCAACGCTCAATTGCAATTACTTAAAGAATCGCCTCTGAGATGGTAATGAGACAAAGTGATTTCCTTTTCGACACAGCGGAAGCAGCAATGTGAAATTCATCCACAAAGTATTTTGCAACACGCACAATTCGCAAGCCGATTTCCCCTGCTAAACGCAGGCGTCAAAAATAAAAGGGAAGCCGTGATTGATGCGATTTTCAGCTCTGGAGTCACCCTTCCGAGGAGAGAATGGAAGGAGATGAAGATGTACGAGAGAATAGAAGAGCAAAGAAACAAAAAAGTGAATAAATGCTTTGCTCCGCCCTTCCCTCGATCGAGAGAGCATTCTCCCTAGCCAGCTGCTGGCCACTATACTCAATTGACTTCTTCCTCCTCCGAATTACTTACACTGCGCCAACTATAAGTACTTTCACGATGATAGATAAGAGAAAGATCAGCACGCAGAGTCAGGAGCTCGCTCTGTGGCATTGAACCCTGGTGTGCTTGTCTGATGACATCTGACCAAGGCAAGAATGAGAGCTCTTCGAAAAAAGAACACACATCGCCTGTATTGTCGAAAGGACTTATGATAGGGAATGTTGACTAAAGTTGCAGTTAGTCGTACCGATATTGGTAGCTCGAGATGAGGGACAAGTGTGATTGCGAAGTAGGTGTATGGACGGGCTAGATCCTATGTCTTGACTTAAACATCTATTGCTGAAAAGAATATCAGGGTTTAATAATTCATATTCTACCCGAATAAAGGCTTGGCTTCTCGTGGATTGATAGACGTAAAACAATAGAGCTCTGAATGCACATCTAGGTTCAATATATCCGTTCTGCCATTCGCATTGGACAGATCAGACCCAAGAGTCGATGACAAGCTGTCTGACTACAAGACGTTGGACGGCGACAACAAGCACTTGAATTTTTCAGGCCATAGAGACATACTTCAAGATTGACGTTTTTCAACCCAGAAGGGCAGTAGTCTTTGTGCCTACTGAGGTCAAGCATACCAACGGGCTACCTGGATTTAGTCATCGGAGCCTATGTCTTGGTACGTAAGTGAGGTGGGACAATTTGAATGAAAAAGACGGTAATTGTGACCCTTATCGAATATTTGGAGGGCGGGAGCAGCGGGTTTCTTGCTTCCTAGCTAAAGGCATTTGGCCTTTTGTATGGACGCATTGCGATGGCTCAATAATTGGAGAGAGCGTGTTCGCGTCTATTGCCATATTTAACACACGTAAGCAAAAAAAATCATTGTCGCTGAAGCTTGGATGGTGAGTTAGCCATTGCTCTCGTGAGGCAGAGCCGAAGAAGGGAGGCGTGTCAATTCTGCAGCGATACCCTCTGCCATTTCAATCCCTTCTTTCCCAACCCTTTGCCTCAAACCACATCCGACGCCAACTGATGCTAGTAGCATCGTCAATGACCCGACTCGCCTTGAACCCAAACCCTCGCCCACCGGAGTCCTGGTGAACAAATGAATAGTCGACCAAACTTCGCCTTTAAGCATGTCGCAGGCAAGTTCAAAATTGCGCCCCGATGGTACGCGAGCTCCGCGGCACAACCTGTATTGCCATGTTATTCAGTCGTAGTCATTACTGTGGTCGTTGTCTTTGCGTTAGGTGCCCGGTTGTTTTGAGCGGATTGGACACATTTGACTGGCGAGGGCTGACCACGATGGGCCGAGCCTTGAAGTGGGTTTCATTCAAGAGCTTGTGAGAAATTTTGGAAGGTGTAACTGCGCCGGCGATGATTACTTGAGTGATTGTTGAGATGTGCGAACGAATCGGGCCTATATGGCCTCCCAACGCACCGAGAAGTCTGTCCTTTCGGAACAACGGTCGCGCATGAAGATAAGATCAAATCAAGTCTTGGGGATTTATTTTAATTGAGATAGCTACGGACCATTTTCATGTTTCTGCGCCTGTCTGGCAACCCACTGTAAGGATACTGCTGTCTGATTTCCATTGGTTCTCTTTTCGACTAGAGCATTCAGTATCACGCCATGACAGCATTGATGCCGGCTACACGGAACTCGATATCACTTTGACGAACGACGTGATAGTCGCTCGCAAGCGCAACTGGTCCATATCCGGTATTTCGCCAACAGAATCAAGTGTAGCAAAGTTGCTATGCTACAATCAGTAATGACGCATTTACTTGGTATCTAGTATGCTTACCAAAGGGCTCAAGTGAGCCTGCAGTCTACGATCGTATGATCGAGCATGGTTGGCATACAACCAGAGCAGATGGTTGGTTGGCCCTCTAACTTGGAGCAGCTTGGCCGTCAGGTCCAAGGCAGGAGTCGTCCGTCCATTAAGGTATGAGGCAGGAGATAAAGCGTTCCAGCTCCAGCATGCAACGCAGAATCCAGGAAGTTCTCTGCTTCCTTGAGGCGCGAGCCTAGTAAAATTTGTTCTCTACAAAATCTGGTACGTGAAGGGGCGGGACTCAAGCTCGATCGCCATCAACTAGTCCTGAGCTGGGTGGGGATATCGGGTGTCTATTCTTCACAACGTTCTGAGCCCAAAGAAGCATGTGATCTTTGAACCACCGCTCATACGTTTCAGACGTCCATACTGACAAGATGCGCAAGCGATAGAGTATTTTCCAGATTCCGATCCAGCTGTCCGTGCTCCCGAATAGATAAGGCCCGGCCATTGCCTACTAGGGATGTCAGCAAGGATCTAATTGTGCATATCACGCAAATTTCAACGAACCAATTTCTTGTTTTTCGTTTCGAAAAAAACGTAATAGCTCCAATGGAATCCTAGATAGAGTTCAGAGCTTTAGCTTATGTGCCAGCCAAATCCAGTGCCTCTAATGGAGAGAGCTGCTTACCATAGACCGTGAGCCCAATGTCAGGCATCGAACAATCCCATTGATGATGGCGCTTCTTAAGCCATGCTGCGCTTTTCCAAATCGCTAATTGTACGGCGGGATTTCGTGGCGACGTTTGTTTCTTTACCTCAACGTCGTAAACAAGGGGGAGCATCCTGATCTCGCCGGCAGTCTAGTTTAATGATCTCTCGTAGTCTACGAGCTATGTAAATACCTCTTTAAAAGTCTCCCGCCTGACAAAAATCAGTGTCTGAGCAGCCCATGCTGACGGATCAGGAAATCTCCGGTGCAGCAGAGCCGTAACGAGACTTGTCGATTTTTACCTTACACCTTGCTCTTCATCACGTAGCTCATTGAGTAGTCCACCATCCTAGAAAGCGATCCTGCATCCGTGTGGGATTGGGGGGCTGAAGTCGAGGTCGAAGCGGCCGAGGACATTGACGATCTCCTAGGAACGCCCGTCAAATCAATAGGCCCTTTGCGATCAGGGCGCGTTGGACAGAGTTGTACTGGCTGGATCGAGCAGCGTTCCCTAACCTCGAGTCAGTGAATCATAGAGCTCTTAGCTCTGCAGGAAATGCACTCACACATTCTGCGGCGCCATGCTGCTTGTCTCAAATTCATATAGCAATCGATGTACAAGGCCTTTCCACTGATCTTCCGATGAATCTAGCCTAGCATATGATGCGGCATTTCTGTGTATCGACTCAACCATACTCTTCAAATGTCCCAGCCGCTCCTGGGGATGGGGACAAGGTACCCCGATAGGCACATAACGGGGTTCTTCAAACGGCGAGGAGACGGAACAAGTAGGAGTGTTGAATTGCAGGTCATATTGTTCCTATCAAAGCGCCGTCAGCTACGCTTTGTAAACTCAGTGTCCGTGGTACCTTGAGCTCTCGAGGGACAACAGCTATCGGCACTCGATCGAGCTTTCGCCAAAGGGTTTCGACCTCACTAGGGAGCTGACCCTCCTTCAACAGTTCAAATATATCGACTTGGATCACTGAGGGAACGCACTGGGCAAGGTATTGGAGGTCGATGGCGATTTCTGGACGCGCATCGTGAATGCTCTTCATACCACGCTTAGTCGGAGATTTTGAGTTTGCCTTCTTTGCAGGCGAAGCTGTGAGCTTGACTGCAGACACGGGTGACTGTACGTCCGGCCCTGAGGGAGGCTTCAGGCGTGGTCGCCTACGCTTCCGCTTCGGTGGTGTCCCCGATCCTCTATCAGGATTGTCACTTGTGTATCCTTCATCCATAGCTGGGCGCTTTCTCTTCCCCTGCCTAGTGTTGCCGGATACTTCGGCAAGATAGGTGCGTTGCGCGGTCTCTCGCAGCCTGATTCCGTTGGGACCGTATCCTTTGGTTGTAAGCTTGAGAGAGGGTGTAGTCAGGCCCACTTCTTTCTGCCAACGTTCAATGCGATGGGTGAGTTCCTGATTCATAGAGGCCGCTGCGAATTGAGTAGGACATCAGAGAGTTGTGGCATTGCGTGGACTTGCACTTCGAAGGACTTGGTTGTAAGAGTAGGGTGTACAATCTTCTGCTCCACGCGCACGTAAACATGAGGGGCGCCGGATAAACCTCGGAGAAAAAAGATATTATTTGGGGAGGACATTTCTTGGCGTTCTGCACTTCCAATTAGGGCGGCACGCGTTTACTTGTCGATTCCCCACCAGGACACGGCCATTCATTGTTACTGCAACATGACCATCACACAATTGCCATCCATATACATGTACATTGTATCTTGCACAAGACAGATGCTGCAAGGAGCTTCTGTGCAGCTTTCGCCAACCCGCCTCCACCGATCTGTTCCTAACGAGAAGGCAATCGTCATAGGAATCGAATGAGACAGAAGTATCGCGGGGCAGGACTTTCTCGGAGAATATTCAGGAGAAGCTACATATGCAATGTGGTTAACAAAGCTGGTTCTATGAAAGTATCGCCCTAGCAGTAGCCCATGTCATTTCAAAACGCTCAGAGAAGGTACGCATAAGCTTCCTCGACGGCAGCACATCGTCCTAACATTGTCTCAGCTATGCGACATACCTCCTAACTTCACTTGAGAATAGGGCATTCAATCGTCAACCCCATCAACCGAATATCAATATAGCTTAGAGTCGAACTAGGTGAAGAGTTAGAGTGCCAATGGACAAGAGCATGCTACGAAGCGCGAAGTAGCCCGACAAGGCAGAAAAAGACGTTGGATCGATTATATGGATGACGGGACTATTGGCTAGGAAGCTATACACGAAGAAACACGAAGCCTTATGGACGATGCCAGCTATTGCTCTGCGTTTACAAGGCACTGGCAATGGGGTCCAGCACAGCAATGTTTAGATTCGTCAAGAAAACCGAGATGTTGAGACAGCAAAAGCCAATTGTGATGATGTCGGGGATAAAATAGAAGAGTTGTCCCTACAAAGCAACAAGAGCGTTGGCGTTGTGAATCCCTCGCTACCACTGAGCCTACGCTAATGCTTCAACGATGAACGAACGCCTGTACAGCGGCAGATGGATTACTAATAGGATCCACGACCAGGAAAGAGATTGCAACATTTTAATATACAGGATTGCATAGCGTGCGAGCAAGGCAATGCCATACGTCATGTATCAATACTTCATTACCTTTCAGCTACTGATTATAGCGCCGGTCCATTCTGCTCGAAGAATATAATTTCCCGCTGATCGCAAAGCCGTGTCCCCAAAAAACTCATCCATCAAGTACAGAAAGGATTCCTGATCATCTCCGCCTTCCTCACTCCCCACGTCCTTAACCAGCTTCTGCAATCAACGAAATCAAAGAACGTCGTTCACCCACCACCCTTACTCATCACCTTTTCCCCTAATACGCCTCATGACCAATCAAGTACTCCATCTACTTTCCCCTTTTAACTGCTGACGAAGTATTTGCTTTCGTCCGCACTACCTTCCTCCCCTTGCAGGCGGTCCTCCGCCAGTACCACATAATTGGCGAACCGACCCTTCTCAGCCAAAAACCGCACAGACTACCGTCAAATTCAACAGCATCCACTTCACGAACACTACAAGCCCGCCCTCTTTCCCACCGTCCCCTGTAGTCCCCCGCGCTCAACGTACTCGGCAAGTCAGATACACCCCGACCCCTACCAACCCACACCGACCCATCCCATGCTATATGATTACTGATGGCAACATCAGGTGTTTACCTCTTCCTCTCAACAATCCCGCACGAATTTTGGATTCAAGACCGCTCGGCGGAGGCGGCTTCTACTTGACGAGATTTCGTGGCAGAGAAAGATAGGTATATATGCTACCGGAGGGGGACGGAATTGGGGGAATCGGGGGTGGGAAAAGTTAGAAGCAATACCTTACACGTACTGCTGGCGCATGGAGATGGCGGGTATAGGCAAGGAGGTAGGTACAGAGCTTGCATATTGTTTAGTTGATAATACAGTGGCTATTAGCAAGCACGGCAGGGGTGCGTAATGAGGTAGAAGTATCTAATGTATCTAGGGGGTTGGTGGTGGGCGTGGAGCGAACTCTGCTGCGAACGACCGAGGAGAGCTTAATTAGGGCTGCAGTGAGCAAGGAAAGGAGACTTGAGCTTGAACCATCTTCATGGTCGAAGCTAATACTCTTTCCCATACGCTGGTGATGTTCCATTTCAGAAGCGCTTTGAAGCCAGCCAAGTATCCTCACGTCTCCGTCGTGGATCAGAGGGGGGATCAAGTCGACACAGCTTTAAGAATCGTCTTGAAAGGTAGATTACCTGCCCACATGGGCTACTTGCATCGTAAGTCACTGATCTCACGTACTACATTATGATGGGCGCTTCTCCAACATCCCTTCTTTGTACCGTCCTCCCATACAGCCTTCACAGTCCTAATCGCCTTCGCCTTTCCTCTGCTCCTTCTCTATCATCTCCCCATCAACCTCCTTGCCTAATTAAATACCAGACCATCTATGGCCCCACCACCGTTATCACCTATGCAGCACTTATTCATCCCTCATCCCTCCTGCATCCATCACTCATCCCTTGTCCTCCCTTTCTCCCCTTATACTTCATCACCCTTCCTAAACCTCAGACTTCCATCACACCACTTTCCCGAGCCCGATAACCTTCCACCACAAAGGCATTTCTCACCCACTCGTCGCCTGTGACACTAGCGTAGGTTTTGCGGGGCCGATAGTTGGAGGGTGCTGCTGAAACAATGATGCTGAGGCGGGTGTTTGGCTGGAGGGCGCGGATCTAGAGAAAAGATTGGCTGAGGATTGTTGGAGGGGGTAAAATTGAGGAGAGGATTCTAGGGGGGAGTCTGGAGCTTGAGAGATTCCGGCTGGGGGTAGAGGAAAAGTGGATTGTCGTTGGGTAAGGATAATGTGGCATTAAGGAAGTTGGCGGTGAGATAAACATAGTAAAGGGTGTTGCATTGATTGGGGAATTTGGCGAGAGGGAGGCGTAGTGGACAGGGTATTGGTGAAAAGGGATGGGATAGGCACCTGAAGAGGGTGGACTTCGGGGAGGAGGCAAATCTGGTGGAGAATTCTGACGTTTTGGTTGGTGCAAAGGATTTGGAGGCGGCTATTCTGATGGCGTGGCGGTATGTGGGGGAGTTCTCATCAAGGAAGATTTGGACGCGCGAAATCTGGCCGAGAGAGGAGTTGTTGGAAAGGGAAGTTCCGTGAAAGGGGGCTGGGTGGAGGTTGACATGATGAGGGACGGTTTGGCAGAAGAAATTTCGGATAGACATGGTTCTTGTCGCATGTATGCTGGACCCTTGGGCGCCCTTGTAAAGGGAACATTCATGCTGCAGAGTATTCTCGTAATTATTGCGCTAGTAAACGCCGCTGTTCTAGAAAAAGATCTGGATGAAGGGGAAGTCAGTATAATTGAACCTAACGAAGGCTGCTTTGTTGAGAAAAGCTCTGTAAAGGCGAAAGAATGTAGAAATCGAGGTGGTATACAAACATGTGATCGAAGGCATCCTGATGAAACATGATCTGGTGGGGAAGAATTTAAGGGAGGATTTGATAAAGTAAACGCTGGTCAAGAATGCTCTGTTGAAGAAGGCCACGCTATTTCCAACTTCCATTTGCTTAGCCCTTGCTAGAGCAGGACTTCTATGCCCTCTGTCCTTCAAACTCCTTGAGATTCTCGAACGTGTGTAATGATCCATTGCCTTTCGCCCGGATTTTGTTTCCCTGTCGGGCAATATTAAGGAACATCATACTCCGAGCGAGACAGCAGCACATTTTTGTATTTATATTTCTCAGTGTCTTACTCAATAGCGATTATGTCCTATCAATCAAGGTAGGAGAGACGAAAGCTCACATATACCAGCACGATTAAGTTTAGTATGCGGATTTAGGTACTGTACTCGCGTTGTTTGCGTGAAATCGCAGTTTTGCGATCCAGATCCTGGACGGCGAAGGCTTCAATCATAATGTTGTTGTAAAATCAGCTAAAGAGGAGGTAGGGGTACGAGACAAGAATAATGCAACGAGAGAGGAACTCGAGCGATTTGTGCATAGTGGGCGTTTTGCGTAAGAAGACTCGTAGGATTTGAGGCACGGTTGTCATGTAAAAAAGTGAGGGAGGTTGGATATTTTCTGATGCAAGGATGAAAGACACTTTATGTGAGCCGCCATTTTATTTTCATATTTCAGTCTCGATTGCTTTCAATTGTCCTTGGATTTGGGAGACCGATTGTAAGTGTCAGAAGATTTTGACTAAGTGTTCCAGATTCCAGCTAGACCGAGCTGTGAAAAGGTCCATGATTTGTAACCAGCGAAGACCGTGGGTATGAAGTTGATCTAAACTGGGATGTGGTCGAGAGCGAAGTCAATCTTGCCCGACCAAAGTCGAAAACTGAGCATTGAGCCAGCAGCCTGACGAGCATTATGGGGCAGCCGCAGGCAGCATTTGAGATCATCCGGAACTCACATTCGGGCTTCAGATGTGTGCATCTTTCTCTCCTGCAAGCCTTGAGTATTACTTCTGGAATCAAAGGTAGTCCCTTCGCTACCACTACTCGGGAAACATTCGCGGAGATAAGCATAGTTCTTCTTGTATTTTCGCGTAGCCCTGCTCCGCTTTTATTACGACCGCAGGCTATGACTTCAAGGCTTCCAAAGCTTAGCGACTCCTCCTACCTGCAATATATGGTTCAGAAAGATTGACTGGATCATAGAGAGAAGCACATCGATGGCCAACGGTTTCGCAAAGAATAAATATCCACAACACACTTGCAGTCAACTCATCCTTCCCCTTCAAGCCTTTCGTCTTCTCAGTCCTCATATCCTTAGAAATAGAGATTTCGATGTCTACCTTTGTTGTAAGTGCTACTACGGCTGATGTCGAGCTCGTCATTCTTACCAAGAGAGCCAGCAAGCACGGTCAACTCGCTGCAAAACTCGTCACCAGTTTCAACATCTCTTCAGTGCAATAAGCAATTTCGAGGTTTCTGTTCTCCACAAGGACAAGACTTTCCGGATATATGAAGAGGGCAGAAAGAGGCGAAGAAAGCAGTTTCCGTAATAACTGAACACGATCAGCGACTGCTTGAGTCGCCATCACCAGAGACGGTCAAGCAATACCTTCGACTTCAGGTTTCACGGCGTACAATAGTGCATGGCCTGCGTTATGCAAAGCTGTATGCCATGCCACAGGCTAATCGTTGGCGCCCACTTGCTGCCACTGCACACACAAAAGCACAAATTAGCAAGCGAGCACCTCGACTCCATGATGATTGGAAGCAGCATCAAACCTTCTCTTCTCACCTCCTCTCCCCGCTGTCCAACCCCACTTAACCTCCTTGAAGACCTCCTCACCACTCCTGTACTTCAGATCCTCCCGACGTCCCTCCAAAAATGCCTAATCTCTTCAATTTCCCAACTCCACAGGAACAGAAGCTTCAACCCAACCTCTCCTCCCACTCTTTTATCCCCCAACCCTTACTGCCTTTCTCACCTCCTTATCACTAGTACCCTCAAATCCCCTCCACGACTCCCCGCCACCATCGTATATTGTGAGCATACCCTCCATATTCATGAGAGTCACCCGGATACGCTGCGTGGACCCTCACTTTATACCAGCACCAGCACAAACAAGAAAGAACAACTGCAGAACGTACTCAAGGATCTCCGGTAGTGAGCAGAAAGAATAATGATAGCGAATCTTTGCTTCTCTCCTTGCTCTTGTCGCAATTTACGTTCTTGCTGATTATAGAACAAGGGGCAGAGGAAGTTTGGGAGATCCAAGGTTATCGTGCGCGAGGATTCAACCTTTACTCCAGGCGGGGAGGGGGAAGAGTTGGAATGCCAAGGCGTCCACCTTTACTGCTGTAGAGTGTGTGGTTAGTAGGCTGCTTGAGGGATTGGTGGGATATCGTTAGGAGATGATTGATGCGTTCATGTGTGCTGCTAGGTACTCGGGACATGTTCTCTTGTGCGAGAGGAAACAGTAGGAGGATGTCATGGTGGGAAGGTGGAGATAGGAGTTTTGGTGGATAGATGATAGTGAGCGTGGGAAAGAATATCTGTTGGATGAGGGAAGGCAGGGTGGATGAAGTGATGGGAAGGAGTCGTGAACTTTAGAGGCTGGTTTGCTGCGAGGGACACTTTCTCGATGTGAGCAATGTGGAACGCCTCATATGATATCATTTATTGCCCCCTGTTATTGTCATTGCGCAAGACTCACAAGACGATATGCGGCGATTGTATTTTAGTCACTGCTCTACTTGCTGTTCTTCTTTCTGGTTTTTGTGATCATGTTGAAGGCAGTGCGAGGGATTATTAATTTGAAAGTAGCCGCTCGAGCTCGGATGCAGGATTATAAGGAAAATCCAGAGGAGGACATGGAGCAGGAGTCTCGAAAGGACGATAACGCGATGCGGTCGAGAGGATGATGGATAGTAGAGGCGGTGTTATCGACTGAGAAGTGTGGGAATAAAAGAGAAAGAATATTTCCCAAGCTAGAACGGAACTGGCTTAGTTGGGCTGGGATATTCCCAGATCGGCGTATATCTGGGCATGGCTTGGCGAGGTCATCGAAATGGAAAATATTTCCATTTCAAATTTCACATTCTACGATGGTTTGCATATCGCAGAATGACAATGTCCAAGACTTTTCATCTCGGCTACACGTGCCCATATTGATTGAGCGGATGTTTTCAAGCATAGAGCAATCTGACAAGCCCTTAAGTAATGTTATATCTAGACCAGGTTCGTCATTTCTAGAATTCGGCAGCCAAATGACATCAAAACTTGACATGGTTGGCTAGAAAATAGCAATTGCCATTCGTAGAAAAAAGTTCATAAATTCAAATTGTTTACCCGTATCGGCATCACGCAGCGGTAGGCAGCACCATGGACCCCCTTACTAGTAGGTCTGAAAATCAAGTGAGAAGCAGGCGAGTCTCACAATTTCATACAGGCTCTTGAAATATGAACTTTCCAGCAGTTCACACCAATATTGAAGCGTGCGGTCTCATGCCTTTTGCATTATCGCGATTTCTCGTGTGGACAATTTGCACGCTTAATGCGCAATCGTGGCAACATAGCTAGAGTTTGCGCTTATGCATTATGTAGGAAGCTTTGCAATACCTGGAAATTCTCATTTGTGCTATTCGAGATGTACCTCGTTCCGTGGATAAATGATTGATGGTTTGACGTTAGCAGAGTAATGTTTGTTTAACAACCTCCTAACAAAGAAACTATTTTTGTCTTTCTTTCACGCCACAAACAACAGACGCAAAAGTTTTGGCTCAGATAGCCACTTTTCTTAAGAACATTCATCCGTACATTCCAAAGCTTTACCTCTGTGTAGCTAGATAGAGGCATTTCTTGAGTTGACACCAACATAGATGGGAACCTTTAGCGCACCAACAGTGAGTCAAAAGAAGCGAAAGACAATGTCCGAAGACACGGCACACAATGGCGGAAAGGATGTTGCATCGAAGGAATCAGAAGACGACAGATTAACCAACTCTGACGGCTCAGCGCCTCGCTCGCCGCACAAATCCCCCATTGCTCGGGTTGGCACTCACGAGCATGATTCTCCACCGAAAGATCAAGAATCTGTGGAACGTACTAGTGAGCATAATGCGCCGCAGCAGGCTGAAGCATTCCCAGTAGGTATCTATGAATACAATCCCTTTCATCATAATAACCCAATCTGAACAGAGCACCAACACCAAGGCTTGGGTAGTCCTCAGTAACAAATGGCCGCCTGCAAATGGAGCTTCTGAACCGAGACAACACACTTATTTTAATGAGCTAAGAATGAGTCGAGGAGTTTTCCAGTCTCAGGCAGAGGCACGACACCAGGCACAGCGGATTATGGAATCAAATATAGTGAATCGGAGCGCGGGTGGAGACGATTACCTTCAACACGATGTTGGCTGTGATGAAGAACCGGTATGGACGAAGGTTGAAGCGACCGAGCTGGCCCCTGGATTGATGTTCGTCGATACTCGTGACGGCCCAGATGGTAACGCTGGGAGCCATGATGACAATCAAGCACAAGGGAAGGACGATGCAGCCAAAGAGAGTGATGCTTTACGAGAGAACAACTCGCCAAACGAAGTTGACGCATCAGCTCGACCAGACAACGGGGAAGGGAGCAGTACTGCTGCAAAAAGCAAGACGAAAGGCCTTAAGAGCCCTCGGAGGGACGGAAAAGAGGCTCCAACAAAAGATGCGACAGAAAGTGCAATAATGCAAGCAGAAAAGACCCCCGAAACACGACTCGAAAAACCTCGAAAGCGAAGCTTGCCCACCATCTCCATTCAAGACACAGAAGTAGCACAGGACCCGGAGACAGAGACGCATCTTGACAAGCCAAAGGCGAAGAGAGCTAGAGTTCAAGTAGATCGCCCTTCGACAAAACAAATCGCGAAGCCGACAAGACAAGCGCCCCTACGAGCTGCGAAGCAGACTACCTCGAAGGCGGCAAGACAACCTGCCATCAGACCTGCAGGACAACTTACCTTAGAGGCAGCACCTACCAATATACCTATAGGACAACGTACTTCTAAGGCTGCAAGGCGCTAGTAGAGTTCACATCATCCGAAAGTCTCGTCTTCAAGTGAACACGCGAAAGGGGGAAAGCGACTATGACTGGGAGCCACCTGAATAACGCTTATTAAGAACAGGCGTCCGAAAAATATCGATGAACCTCTATTGTTCCTACACTATCTCAATCACACACTCCACCCCTAATGCGCACGATTGTCCCTCCTTTTCTACGATGGAATGATTATGTACTATACCTAGTCCTAGCACAAGTATCCCTCCAACTCCCCCTCCCTTCTCCCAAAACAATCCTTGCCTACTCGCCGCCATCGCATCCCCATTCCCATCCCCCTTTCCACCCCCTTCTCTCTCATCTATTTCTTCTCTCCTCTTCGATACAGAACCATTCGTATGACCCATCAGTGGCTCACTCATCACTCAAAAAGCTGACCCACTCTCCGCAAACACATAGCTCCCATCCTTAACATTACCCATCTCTCGGATCTAGGGGAGTGAATCCTCAACCCCCGAGCCCCTTTCCATCCGCATCGCCCACCATCTACTCCATGGATCAACACCTCTATACCAAGCCTCCCACCTTCCTCCCTCTTCCCTCAAATACAATGCATATCCCTCCCATACCTTTTCCTCCCCCTCCCCTTCCCGCACCCCTAGCATTTCCGCCCAAAAACACCCACGAGGCAGAAGACTTGGCGCTATCAAGGTCCATGGGTGTGTACACGGCTGTATGGAACACGTGGTGTGCAGGAGAGGGAGCGGGATTGTCATTCATTGAAGGAGAGGGCTGCAGTTAGGGGTGGTAGTAGATGGAGCAGTGGGTAGAGAGGTAGATAGGAAAGATGAAGGTGGGAGTGAGAGGAGAAGTGCTTAGTGGCGAGGGCGGGTGTGGCCACATGGTGCCCGACAACATTGCCAGTGGCGGCGTTCACCGTCCGCTGGTCTTTTCTTTCTGATGGTCTTTATTGTTTTGTCTCTGAGGCTCCCTTGTGTTTCTTTCTAGTCGTCTTCGGTGTTTTGCCTCTGAGGTCTTCTAGAGATTTGAGAATGACTATGACATTACTTTGGAGCGTTAATTCTGTCTCTGCAATAGGAAGAGTGTAAGAAATACACTTGGTCTTACGGTCATATGCTCGTTGAGCCATTTGGCTTTCTTTAGTGTGAAGAATTGAGGTACAATCAATGGGGGAAGAGTGGTGGTGGAGCAAATTGGCAAAGAATAGTGCAGAATTTTGGCTTCTGAAAAAGCATTAACCTACGCCCAAGAAAGCCACGGAGTAACTGGGAAAGCGCGATGTGGCCAATTGGATACTGTTTTTCAGCACAGATGAAGCCTGAAATAATGGAGAGGGAGATGTGCACGCAGCTGGCTATGCAACCCGTCTGCAAGGCCACTTCATTGGCCAGGCCCATGCCTCATAACGACAGGAGAAGAGCTACGCAAATACCTAGTAATCCACCCTGTCTCCGTCCAGAGTGGTCACTTGCCTCAAGCTACCGGGATGCTTCAGATTGGGCGATTCTTATGATAAGGTCTGAACTTCAACACGGTCTAACACCCTATCTACCGGGCAAATCCATCCCGAATGCTTTGCTTGCGCCCTCCAAGACAACGAAAGTCTGAAGGTAGATCAAAGAGAGTTGTCAATAATTTCCAGGCCACAGAGAAGGAGAAGCCGGTCAGATCCAAGTGGCATAATGTAGTGCCTAGATCGTCGCAGAGAGAGAGCAGGGCATAATGAAGAATACCATTGCCACTGTTGAGAGCTAACACTTACTATGGAGTAGCCAACGACGCCGGCATCGACGGCTGGCTCGCTGCGATGGTTGGGCTACAGGATCCAGAAACATCCTCACTCAGAGTTGCAGGCTCAATCGATGTCCCACAGTCGCAAAGCCTACCGTTGAGAGGTTGTCTAGAACAAAAGAGAACATCTCACCGATCTGAAGTTATCCCTACTGTACCCATTCTTCAATCAGTTTATAACCTCCCGTTCTCCAACCCTAGCACATACCGCATGCCTTCTTAGACATTGCAGAGGCGAGATTACGCCAGTACATCTCGAGGTCATCTCTATCTCCCCTCAAGATGCAAACGAGAACGCTAGTCGAGCGGTGGAAATATGGAGGGGGTAGGTTGCGAAGTTCGTAGCCATCGTATAGCATAGTACATTCTTGAGACATAAAACAGAATCAGAGCTTGTAGCCTTGCGTGCAAAATATTCCAACTCACTAGGAGAAGCTGCTACCTACTGATTCCGGCGTCTTCGAAGATGGTGTTGTTGAGGATTTGTCGAGGATATGGTGGTGATAGTTGTAGTAGCGGCAAGAGGCAATAATCTGCGTTTTTTCGTGGTTGGTGAAGGATAGCGGATCAGACATTCAAAGCGTTGGTATGGTTACCGGGTCTTGCATCGTCGGTATGGAGATTAAATCGACAGTTTGTTAACAATGAAAGGGATCTAGTGCATGCGCAACCTACTGACAGAAGAAATCGTAGATGCGGTTGGCCAACGGCTCATGAGCTATACCGCCGACCTGCCACTCTATCACCTTTTCCAATCCATCGTTGCACCGTGCATGCGCAACTTCTTAAATCGAAGCGCGTTGTTAGCTTCGTTTCCACTCGTTCAGATAGCATCTCTTCCCATGTTTTGGGCTTCCGACTTTGGAAGGCACGAGCTCCACTCGATTTGGAGAGAAGAGAAAGGGCCGCCCTCTTACTAAGCAGGAGGACAACGTCTGGCTGCTTGATCATCCACTTTACGTTTCAAGAAAACATCCGCAGAAAGATATTGCCAATGTCTGTCGGTGCCATACTCTGAGTACCCACCTTGCTGCTGCACTTCGTAACGCCACCACGTCAAAAGAGACTTCGTATACGCTTAGTAGCTCCCCTCACACCAGCAGAAATCCTGATATCATTGGAATTATTGACGCAAACATCGCGGCGATGAAGAACAAGGGAGGCGTATTCAGCTGTATTTAAGCCCACTATCTCAATCACTGACACTGTATGTTCAAATTCCCAATGTCTGGTCTTGAGTCCTCCCTTTTAGTGTACTGCTGATTCTTCGATCGTCCAATGCCATACCAATACCCCCGCTATCGCTTTTAGTGTTCGAGCAATGATATGCCCCCTAAGCGCAGCAGAGGATTAAGGTCGCAAATGCTGCAATTTATTCACAACGACCAACCACGTGCCCTTCTACTCCTTATGGCTAACAACTGACCGCAGACTCAGTTTCTCTGAATTTGGTAATCCTGTAGCCAATACCGAGTAACAGATCATCAAGCAACTAAGAAAGGTGGAAGTAAGCTCTCTCTACAAAATTCTTCGACTTGTAATTAACCTAAATGAAAGGCCTAGGTAGTGCGTAAAAATGAACTTCCGTGTAGGGTGCGACTTTCCCGAACTGCCCCCCTCCATAATGTTTTGATTTGAGACTAGACCAATGGCTACTTGCAAAGTGTGAAAGATCCAACGAAGATATATTCAAGTGTCTCTATGTAATATTGTCATTGTATATGCTTGGGGAAAGCCAAGGGTAGCAATGAGGTATAGCTAGTTTCGCATAGGCTAATTTGTTCTTGCTGTAGCCGCAGCCTCTAGCAATTATTGGTCTTAATTCTCCAAGTCTTAGCAGCGAATTTACTTAGTAACGAGCCTTAAAAGGTGCTATGCAGATATTACTCTATAAGCAATCTACATTCTGCATTTCCTCCATCCTACTGCTTAACCCTTACTACTCACTATCCCTCTAGTATCCAACCCTCCCCCTCCTTTAAATCGCCATCGTCTCCTGCTCTTGTGATAGGATCTAGCCACTATCTATGCCACTCAACTGTTTGACTCCAGAGAGTCACTAGCCTCTTCTTGAACAGTGACAGCTTCAGCTCTTCTTTTACTAGCAAGCCCCTCGGAAACACCCAGATCGTCGCGTTTTCTTGTCGACTCCGGCTAATTCAAGAGCAAGTCAGACAAGTGTTCTGGGTGCAAAGAACACGCTCCAGCTATCAACAGCGCCGAGAAGCTATAGATCGATCTTCGAAGCAAGTCCACATTCTTGATTGGCTTCAACGGCCAAGATGATAAAAGTAGAGCGTAAGAATACTGCGGTACAGACAATTGCATTTGCTTCGGCCAATTGCCCCAACTCGGATAGTCGAAGCTAGAACGCGCGCAGGGCACAGCGACCGTGCGGCATCAATTTTAATAGACATGCCGACTTAGAGTTCTAAGTGTGATTCAGCTCTCGATAAGAAAATAAACCAACGCCGCTGTGACTCGTCTGAATGGACTCTCTGCGTATCCCTTTAGTTCATGTGACCCCATGACCAGCAGCAGGCTAAGGATAGCGCGATTTTGCACCTTCTCCGGAGGCTTCACAGAGTGAGGTACTTATCACATTGTGTGCAAGATCTAGAGCTTACTCTAATGACAGCGGCCATGCAGGGACCGTAGGCTGAGTTGGTTGAGGGGCGGTGGGGTTGGTAGTGCTGGCGAAGAGAGCGAAGGCGAAGTCGGATGGTGGGATAGTATACATGCGGCCTGCGTGGAATGTTTTTAGTTTGTACGCTTCTCAGTTCGTGGATATATTCCAATCATTTTATATATTTCAAATCTGGCATTCGAGCCTGAGGCTCCCAATTGCACGGAGTGCGATTCGACGACAACATCGGAGTGAGAAGGCCCATTTAAGCATCAGCTAGAGAAGTGATCAACATAAGAAGATACTTTGCATACGTGACTTGATGCTTCAGGGGGACGTTGGCGTTCGAGGAGGTGCAAAGTAAATCTGTGCAGTAGTATTTGGATCGCTCGTCAGGGAGGACTCCGGTCGATGTAGCATTGTTCTTGTCTTGAGTTATATGGTAGGAGATAGTGTCAAGATACTAACAAGACCAGGCGAAGCCCAATGAGGATACGTGCAGAATGTTGTTTTGCTTCTGTAGTGTAAAGGGGGACGAAGGAGGAGAGCTATTGGGGCGAGGTATGTAGCTGTAGGCTAACAAACCCA